CTGTCTTGCTCTAAACCCCAGATTACTGATCTTACTGGATCCCATCATCTGGATGCCATTTTTGTTGGATTTGGACGATGGGATGTGCATGAAGATTGGAGGGCCATAGAAGGAGGTTGAGAAAGTTCCTCATGTTTCTCATCATGATTGAGCAAGATTCTGGCTCAGATGCATTGTTCCATCAGAGTTTCTGTTGCGTATCCCTCTGGTTCTCAGCAGGGATCTGTTAATGCAGCCCCCTCCCTAAGGCTGACATTGGCTTCTCTTTTTTGCTGGTCTCTGGTTGGTTCTCTTCACTCTGCCAGCATCATAAAGCATTATCTTCAAAACTCTTAAATAAGTAGGCCATAGACTTTTTGCTAGGACTTCACTTCAAGTGTCACATAAATGCTTTTATACTATGGGAGTCAATAATTACCAAAGAAACATCTGCCTCTGGGTAGAATGCTCATTACTAACACTCAAAAATCCCTGCCTTCAAATAATATAAACACAAAAAGTGCAGTGATGGTCATGCTGTAAACACTGAAAGGTGTTGTTGGCTCAGTCTTCAAAGTTCAAGCCATCCCTTGCCCCGACTCCTTTCACCCAAACAAGCCTTTCTGCATTAATATGGTTCTTGCTCTATTCCTATTATGCTGCTTTTTATGTTTTCATATCACAGTATGATAATCCTTTGATGCAAAAATCATCTGTCTCATTAGGACTACATTAGGGTTTAATGAAATAGTCAAAGTACCCTATAAAGAACAAAGTCCTGTATGAATGTGCCAGATTTGAACAAGTATACCTAGGTGGGTGTGGCTCCAAACTATCGTAACAACTCTTGGATTTCATTTTCCCAAAGTTTGCACCATTACCTTTATAAAAGTATTTTAAAATGACAATTGCATTTTAAAAGTAAGTGCTTGTGGGGGAAGAACTATCTTGAAGGAAAAGATCATTCAAATTTAAAGTAATCTAAATGTAAAAGAAAAGTATCTACAATTAAAATTGCTATACACTCCTATTTGTATATGAGAAGGAAAGGAATGTATGTGCCCCCTACACATGTATGAACTTGTATACTACAGGACTCTAAAAGCTTGCGTTGGGCTGGGCACATGAACGGGAGCCTCCTCTCCACCAGCTGCCTCAGCTGGTGGCAGAAAGCACAGCCTAACCTCCTGATCCAGGAATTCCACCATGCCAACTGTGTAAATGTGGCTGGCACCATCTTGGGTCAGGCACCCAGGTGCCAATGGTGCCAGACAAAGCTCTCTGGCCACCTGATGATAAGCTCTGGGAACTTACGGGAGTAGGCCTATAAAGGGTCTGGTGGTTGGGACTGGTGGGGGTGTGTAGGAACCTGAGAGTTCATGTCCAGGTGATTACTGACTTCCAAGGGTCTTGCATAGACATTGCCACTGTTCTATCAGCTGAGGAATTAGTGCCGAGGGACATACAATAGATAAAGCCACCATACATGTAGATGAGGAACAACTCCTGAGAGACTCCCAATCATAGGACATTATACTTGTAGGTAAGTGAGGGGACTGACTTTTGGAGGGGAGAGACTGGAAGGCCTTTATGGGTCAAATCAATGCACAGCCCACATGGGTGACCTGAGCTGGGCTTGTTAGGATGAAACAGTGCTGATCACCACATGCCAGCCCACACAAAAGCTATGGCTGGGAAACTGTCTGGAAGGGCTAGATCCCAATACCTGACTCTGAGTGTCAGAACAGGGGACAGGTCATTTTAGGCTGGATCATGACACTAACCAGCACACAGCAGAACCAGGTCTGGGGGTAGATTTTGTGGGGGATATGTGGGTAAACCCTGTGGAAACACAAGACCTGCTGGTTAGCTCAAGAATTGGGGTGGGGATGGGCTGAGCTAGGTGTGACCATGGCACCTGCTGACACTCACAGGTACTGGGGCTGGGAACAGGCTGGGCATGTCCAGGCTGCAGCACTAGCATGTGTACCCTGAAACAGGATGTGGAGCATGCTGGGCTGCAACATCCAAAAGCTCATACCAAGACTGGGACAGAGGGACAGGCTATGCTGGGTAAGGGCCTAGCACTTGTTGGCATGTATGAGATCTGGGTCTGAAAGTGGGTCAAGTGGGGGAACTTGGGAAAGTCCCCTAGTGGGTCATAACGTTCACTTATGATCACATGGTCTAGGACTGGGTGTTGGGCAGGCTGGGCAAGGTAGCTTTACCCATTGGCAAGTGTGGGTAGGTTTTGGAAGGGAGCAGACCAGACAGGGCTGGGCAAACCTTAGCCCACTGGCAAGTGCAGAAAGCAGGCTGAAGTGCAGGCCATGCTGGGTTAGGCTATCACATCTACCAGTCCGCATGAGCCAGGGCTAGGAAAAGACTGAGCAGGGCCAGGTTTCAGCACCCAACATTGAGAGTTGGGACTGGGGGCAGGCCAGGTCAGGCCAGGATACAGCATCCAAATGCAAAGGCCATGACAGGGGAGAAGCTATGTCAAGCTGGGTCAGAGCAACCACTAGCATGTACAAGATCTATAGCTTGGAACAGACCTGGTTGGGGAATGAAGAGGATGTCCTGGCTGGGCTTGGGTTCCTACTGGTGAGTGCAAGGCCCAGAGTCGGGGCTATGATTTGGTCTGGACATGGCTGCAGTGTCTGTTATCACAGGTGTTGACTGGGTCTGGTGTGTGCAGACTGGGCTAGACTCCAGCATCCACTAGTGCTCATGAGAACCAGGGTTGGTACAGGATGGGCAGGGCTAGGTCTTTACCCCTTCGGAGCCATGTGTGAGTTGTGTCTGGGTATGGACCAGGTTTGCCTGGTTCTGTAACATCTAACAGTAAGAACTGGAATAGGCGAGGGCCCGTTAGGAAAGGCTACTGTTCCTGCCAGAAAAGGAGGTGGATTGAGTAGGGCTGGCCCACAGACCCACCAGTATGCATGAGATTTTACATTGGGAGAGGTTCTGATGGAGGAGCTTGGGAATTTCATCTTTCAGGACACAGTCCCTGCAGGTGAGTGCATGAACCATGGTAGGAAGCATCCCAGACCAGGTCAGGGAATGATACCCATACATTTGGCTCGGGTCAGGACAAGTGAGCCTGGGCCAGTTCATACTACCCACTAGTAAATCTGAGCACCAAAATAGAGTATGGGTCACACCAAATAGGCCCAGTTCACATTAGGGCCAAGACTGTGAGTTAGCTGGGCTGGGTTAGGCAGTGGTCCCTACCAGCGTGAGCTGGAATTGGGGGTGGGCCAGACCCAGTCAGGCTATAGCCGTCAGTGGCAAATATCGAAATGAGGCAGGCCATGCCAGCCTGGGCCACAGCGCCCAACCAGCACACATGAGACTGGGAGAGGAGGGACAGTGAACACAGTAGGGGGCTGCAGGGGCTCTCTTGCTGGACTACCACTCCCACTGTTGAGAGTGATTTGGAATTGGGCAGACCAGGTTGGGCAGGGCTACACCACCTGTTGGCCTCAAGTGAGCTGGATTAGAGGAAAACCAGGCTGAGTTGATTATACTTACTGGTGCATGCATAAGCCAGAGTTTCTGTGGGTTGGTTGAGCTTTGCCACAGCATCAGCTGGCAGGCAGATGCTGGCACTGGGGGCTAATTCTGTCAAGCTAAACAGCAGAACTACCTGGAGAGTGCATGATCCAGGAGTGGGAGTGGTACCAGTAGGGAAACGATGGGAATCTTGCTCTTGGGTTGCCACTCTTACTGGTGAGCATGAGAACCAGGACTGGAGCAGGCATGACTAGACAGTGAGTGATACCCGCCAGCATGTGTGTAGACTGGATAGTGGGGCTGGTTAGGTTGAACTAGGCCTCAATACCCATTGACATATGTGAGAGCTGAATGGGATGTGGGACAGACTAGATCAGTGTGCTATACATACAGGCAAGCATAAGAACTGGGACAGGGGCAGGTCTGTTGGGGATTTCGGGATTGCTCCAGCTGGGCTGCAGCTCCCAGTGGCTTGTGTGAGGGATGAGTGTATGGTGGACATGATCGGGTAGAAGACAGTGCTGGAGGCAGAATTGACCCGCAATTGCAACCACCAGTCTGCATGTAGGCTGATTCAAGTGACAGACTGTACCGGACTCTGCATTGGCAAGCACACACAAGAATCAGGTCTGGGATCCTGGTGCATGCAAGGTGAGGATTTGGTCACCTGGTCATCACATCAGGCCCAATGCAAAGACTTTCAAAGAAAGAATTTTCCAAAATATAGGTGAAAAAGAAAAAAGATTGCATTTTTTTCTGATGGGAAACCTATGATGTAAACACAATTTTAAGAGAAGAGAGGGCAAGGATATAATATAGAAAATCAGAATTCTGATTTCTGGGAAACCTATAAGTTGCCATTCTGGGCTATATGATTCACCTTTAAGAAGAAAGGCAAGAATCTTCCACTATAATTTGATTTTAACCAAGGACTCTTTCTAACATCTTGGTTAATTCTAAGGATTATTTAGTTCTATCTTTCTAATGTGAGTTACTGTTTCTTGCATTTTACATACTAGTCTGTAGTGTTGGATAGATCTTCCACAGAAATTACCATTGAAGTAAGCAGGAGATCAAGGAAGAAGAGGCTGGGCACCATCAGAGAAGATTGATGAATATCAACCATGCAGAGTGCAGATCAGGGCTATCCAACATCATATAATGTTGTTATCTACATTCATCTATATTACTTCATAATGCTAATTAATGTTGAGGATTGTGGTGGGATTGGTTTTATTCATTAAAGATCATTTTTTGCCTTTTGAAAATTTATATGCAATTTTCAATTTTATTTTGCATTTTGTTTTTAAAGGATGCATGATTTACTATAAGCCCAAGAGGTAGTAGCTTAAAAAGCTTCAAGTGCTAATAATCTGAGATTACTTTCTCTCCCTCTTGTTTTTCTTTTATAAAGACACCAGACAGGAATTAACTGCCTAATTAAATTTAAACAAATTAGATGAACACTAATATTACTATGACCAATTTTTGCATCACTAATTGTTTATTGGGTATTACAATAGTGTTCACTTAGTTTGAAAGCAAAGGGCTTTGGCTGCAAATCAAAACAGGCAGTGTTAATTCTAGCAGTTATGGTAATAGGCATTTTGGAGGCGGAGTCCATGTGAGGCGCATTGGAACACCAGACAACTAAATATTGCTAGTCCAGTTTTCTGGATCCTGTCTTGATCTCTTCAGGATGAAAGTAGATCCTACAGCTTCCAACACTTTGGTCTTGGTGGAGAAGATCCCACTGGACAAGGCCAATCACAAGACCTGGAAGAGTTCTTCTAGAACTGACTCGGGAAATGAATGATCTACCATCTCACACAAACTGTAACCTGGGAAGATCACATTACCTTGTCAAATTGCTCTAAAGCAGAAGCTCAACTAAATTCCAAGAACACATGTCTATTCTCACAGGAACATCGATGAGCAATTAAAAGAGAAAATAGAGCATGTGACAGCACAGCACTTCTTTGGAAGAGTGGGAGAGCCAAAGCATTGTGTGGATGGTTCAACATCTCTGTCAGGAGGCAAAACTGTGACACAAAATTCATGTTAGAAATTCTACTATATTCCCCTCTCCGCATCCTACACATTCAGCAATTCCCTATTTTTGTATTGCCTCTCTCAGCCCACACTCAGATTGTTCCCCTCCGTAACCAAAATGTCTCTGTTTTAAAGTTACCTTTGTTCAGATTCCTCCCCAGCATCTAATTAAACCTGGCAAAGTTATTCGGTAAGCTTGCTGCTTCTGGGGTATGCATTAGCAGGAAACTGGGATCGGGGATAGTCAGGGTTTGAACTTGGGCATCCTTCTGTGGGGCACAGGGATGGAATTGCTACATCAAATGATGATCCCAATTCATTATTTTGAAAATTGGGAACAATCTGAAGTATACAAATCATAATATATCCATGGGGACTGGCGAGGTAAAAGTAATATTAATAGAGCTGGTAAAAATGCACTTGTCAATGCAAGTTAGATTGTCCCTAATTGAAGCATTTCTTAATTTCTCCTGGAAGAAAACTGCAGCAAGTGACCAAAAGGCTGCACTTTAAAAACTTAACTACAAAATTATTAAGTTTATTGACACACACTCAGTCCAAGAGAAACTTCTATCTTTAATATGGAAGTTAAATTTACATGTAATGTTTAATTTTCTTTTCAGTTTTTGTAGCAAAGCGAATTATGTGCAATGTCTGAGAGAATATTGCATACCACTAAGGGCAAGTAGCAATTTCCACGAAGTGACAGGTAAGCGGTTTAGGGGGAAATAAATGCTGCCAAAGATGATTCATTTGACATCAGCCCTGACAGTTTTTCTGCTGACACGGCTGACAGAAGGGAGGACTAGCACAAAGGTTAGATTTTTCGGTCCTAGGAAACCCAGCTTTGTCTTTAAGGCTTCCTTCTTTGAGTGCTGCTAGTCCATCAAGATAGGCTGTTGAATTTTCTCATGTGGACACAACATACTCTGCTGTCATGCAAAACATGCAGATCTTCTGACAGAAAAATGAAATTTGCTACAGTCCAACCAACAGTGCATTCATCTGCACCTATTTTTATTAATGCCAGTCGACTGTCAAGACTTAAATGTCACAGTAATTCCTAAAAAATAAGCTTTAGCATCATTACCACCTTCTCTCAGTAACTCTATTAAAAAATATGTAGAAAATGAATTGATCTCATGCTGAAAGTATGGCTAGAGTCACAAAGATCAAAGGCTTAAACGAAATCAAGCAGATAATTAAGGAGACCCCTGGACCTTAGAGGGTTGGCTATTGTAAGTTGACTATCTTAAACATTTTTATAACTGCTTTTATGTAACACTAAACTCTCCTTATTAACTGATACAGGTTATGTGTAAGTTTGAAAATTACAGCCACAGCTACAACTTTGCCTTTTAATATTAAATTTAAGTTTTATCAGCCTCATATACCTGTCTTCACCACACCATCACCGTCATCATTGCACTCAAATATTTATTATCTGTTGAAAATCAATTTATTTGGTGTAGACTACACAGAAAATAAGGACACTCAGTTCCTGACTTCTGGGACCTTATAGTTTTCCCCAGTGGCAGCACAGAGAGACATGTAAGCTATAAGGTAAAATAATTGCATGAGTAAAGGGTCAGAATTGTGATACCTTGGAGAAAGCCTCTGCCTATGCCACAGTGTGGACATTCCATATTGGGGTGCCGATTTGATTCCCGGCTGCTCTATTTCCAACCCAGTTTCCTGCTGATGTGTCTGGAAAAGTAATGGAAGATGACCCAATGGTCTGGTTCCCTGACATTCGTAAGGGAGATCCACATAGTTCTGGGATCTTGGCTTCAGTCTCACCCAGTCTTGGTTGTGGATCATATGGGGAATGAACCAAGAGATATAAGGAGTGTTTCTGTCTCTTCCATTCTCTTTGTCACTCTGTCTTTTAAATAAATAACGTAAAACTCCCTCTTAAAAAAAACATAATTACATGAATGAAATAGGTGCATCATTATATTAACGATGAAAAGGACAGCTTTCTTTAGTTCATAAAAAGCAATTAATAGAAGTAAACCTCGGGAGAACTACTAGTTTTTAAAAGAGCTTAATTACTTATTTAATTTTAGACAGTGTCTTCTGGAGGGGAGTAAATGCAAAGATTTCGCAGATTTGGTGGCTGTAAAAAAAACTGAAATTATGGATTGTAAGAAACATTTCAGGACTCCTATTGTTTCTATCCCCAAACCCTGTAATGAATGGTATCTATACTAAGGTCTAACAGCTTCTGGGAAATTTAAGTTTTGCTTCAGGTACAAGTCACTGTTACTAAGATCAATGCTCTAATTTAGCTCCAGGACTGGTTTCAAATGCATATTGAGCTCAGGCTTGGGACAGTGTTCACTGCCTTAGAAAATGAAAACTAACACAGCAGATATATCAATGGGCACAACTCAACACAATGCACAGGACAGTTAAAGTCAATGAACTCTAAGAACAAATTATTATGAGGCCATGTTTATACAAACTTATCTGATTAGTTGTAGTTCAGGTATTTATTGTATTAATTTTGTTCAGGGTAAAGCAAATTAGCCTCTAAAGTCTATCTCATTACCACCTTATTGTCACAGTTAAAACCTACCTCTAGGTCTTTGGGCCTGCCTACACAGTGGGTGCCGGGTCCCTGAGCCCTAAGGGTCGGGGGTTCGGGATAAGTTGCCTGACTCAGATCTTTGGCTTGCCTGAGTGATGGGTGTTGGGTCTGTGAGCCCCAGGGGCAGTATTCCAGCAAGACCAGGTTGCCTGGCCTAAGTCTTTGGCCCACTGCACAGTGGATGACATGTCCATGAGCCCCAGGGATTGAGGGTTCAATAGGGCCCGGGTCACCTGGCTTGGGTTCTTGAGTCTGCCTACATGTTGGGTATCAGTTCCATGAGCCCTGGGAAGAGGGTCTGCTAGGGCCTAGGTCCTCCAGCCCACTTGCATGGTGGATGGTAGGTCGATGAAAACCCAGATGTTGAGCGTCCAGTAGGGCCCAGGTATCCAGGCCCATGTCCTTGGGCCCAGCTGCACAGTGGATGCAATTACCCCAGCCAAATGATGACAGCAAAAATCTGGGTGAATGGAGACTGTAAGGTTGACCATGTCAGCCAATGTACACTGGAAATGGTTTCCTCAAGCTTGGACCATAAGACAGAGATCATTTGGTCGGTAAGACAGAACTAGCAAAACCACCTGGGCAAAACCCTCAGAGAATGTACCCACTGGGACTCGGGGTTGATATCCTAGATAATCTTTTTTTTTTTTTATTGTTGCTTACATTGTATTATGTAGTACAGTTTTATAGGCACTGGGGATTCCCTCCACCCCTCCCATAACCCTCCCCCCATGGTGGATTCCTCCACCTTGTTGCATAACCATAGTTCAAGTTCAGTTGAGATTCATTGCTTGCAAACACATGCCTAGCATGAAGTTCAGTGTCTTATTGTCCAGATAAGTCCAGTGGCCTCTTGGGGAGACCTTCTATGGTCTGAAGATAGGTCTAACAGAGTAAAGATCCGGTCAGTTAAAAGCCCCAACAAGGCCTCATTATCAATATACAACATTATGGAATTAATTGACATAGTATTGGGTAAACAATATGTTAAAAATAATGCAAGTTCCATTCTTTGAAACATCTGGGTTGAGACAGTATCAATGACAGGTTCAAAAAATAACAAACAACCATACAAAAATTACAGGTTAAATCAAGGCAAACATGTGGTATCTAGCATCTCCAGGTACTGGGGCATTGGGAGGCTGGGTATGACTCATCCCCTTACTTACTCCCTTCTCCAAAAAACAGGAGGAAGAAGTAGAAAATTTGGAAATGATGATCACACCTAGTTTTCCCTAAGCCTTGATCCTTCCCACCCTGATTAACTTCTAAACATTATAAAAAAAATTTTTTTTTTAAAAAAAGTAAATTAGTGGCCAAAAAACCCCACCTCAATCAGCCTCTGAATTATTTCATCTAGAAATTTCTGGATTTGTATTCTGTACATTTCACAATATTTAAAAAGAATATCTTCAAGGAAGACCCAGAAGAAGACCTGCCAACCATAAAGTAGTACAGTTTATGTTGTTGTCACTCTGGCTCCTGGGCAAGCAAATACCAAAGGCTCATTTCCATAAGGGTGATTTTGATAGAAGTATAACATACTACTACAAAGCATAAAAAACTGTAGTTTTCTGCAGATAAGAATGACAATCCAGTAAGAGTGAGAGCTGTCATTTTTGTCATAGAATGGTGGAAATAAAATACACTTAAGCAAAGCTCATCATCAAAGAGATGTCTTACTATGGAGATGCCCAGCAGAGTTTTAAAACCATATGTCCCAGAGTCTATAAATCTAAAAGTTTTCCAAAAACATCAAAAGACTCACAGAGAATTGTGCTGACGATAATTTATCTCTTACAAGTCAATCTAAGGCTGAATAATATTCTTAAGCCACAGAGAGCTAAATTTCTTCCATGAAAGATTTTCCCTATTCCCTGATTAGGACTTCACTATAGATACTGAAATATTTCTGTCTTGAAAATTTCAGTCAGACTTCCCATGCACTCATTCACTAAGTCGTTAATACCTACCAAATGCCAGCATTGCAAGATCAAAATGATGTATTATGGCTCCTGAGCTTTTAGAGTCTGCTGAAGAGGAATAAAGTCACCAAGAGTCTCAATGGAATACAATAAATACAGCTGCCATTAAGAAAAGTGCTCACCTCAATTTGGAGCTGGATCATCAAAAGAATCAAGCTGGAAGGGGTGTTTCAGGTAGCAGAAATGGCATCTACAAAGAAGCCAGAACAAAGGCATGTTGTGATAATGGCAGAGATCCCATAATGAGCAGGTAAAAGCAAAGGGATAGAGATCAGCTTGCCAAGGTCTTTGAATATCATATCTTGGCGTTTAGATTTGAACCTGAAAGTAATGCAAAACAAATCTTCAACAGATGTGTAACAGCAATGAAAGATTAGCATTATATGTCAAAGTGACATGTTGAAGTAGACTAGTAGCAATTTTTTTACATAATTGTCCAGAGCAGGTTGTGAGGAAAGTTGTGTCTTTGAATTTGACAAGAGACATTAGCTTCTTTCAAATGAATGACTGGATTCTTTCCTTCGCAGATGCCATCCCTGTGTGTAAGGTTCCCAGTATGTAGTTGCTGAAAAGGCAACTTTACTGAGAGCACTGGGCATTACTGAGATTGTAAGAGATTGTGGACATTTCCTTTCAATTGAATATGGGTTTAGTGGATAGCTCACTTCAAGTTCTACTGGCAGTAAACAATGTAGATCCAAAGAAAGCGAAGTAGACAATAGAAACTGGCTGCAGTGTCCTGCGGGTTGCTAAAGCTCTGAGTAAGAAAGAATTTAGAGCACCTGCTGCTATCACTTCAACCAAATCAGATGTAAGTTTCTGCTATTACTCTGCTATTGAACACTTTTTGTTCAATAAAATAAACTTTTTCTTTCTAGATAATCTTGTGACTCCAAATAAGTTCTTGTTATAATTTAGAAGTAATTTTTATTTACTTAATTTCTTGAACTTGGAGTGCATTCAAAATTTAAGCATCAAAAAAGGCATAAAAATATACACAGAGAAAAATATATACGGAGAAAGTCTTCTTTCCACGACTGTAATTAGTCTGTTTTTCTGAAAAACAGATAAGCAATATTACTAGTTTTTCAGGTATATAATCCAAGATTTTAAACATGCACACACAAGCTAGTGTAAACATAGATTATTTTATCTTCTTTTTTCACCCCAAATGTAGTGTTTCTCTTTTCTTGGTGTCCAATATCAAGGTGCCATGGTCAGGTTCTGAACGGGTTTCTAGATGGCCACCTATTTGCTGTGTTTTCGTGTGGGAGAGGAACAGTCAGCAGGCTCTTTGGGGTCTTTTCATGTAAGGACACAGATCCTATCATGACAAGAGAGCCGTACTCTACTAACCTCATATAATCCTATATATCTCTCAAAGTCTCCATTTCTAAATAGTGTAACATTGTCGGTTAGGACTTCAATATGTGAATTTTGAGGGAGAAACAAATATTCAGTCTCTAGTAAGCATCATTCCTATCTCTCCTTCTCCCCACACATCTGCCTTTCTGCATTTCAAATGAATAAAAAATTTTTGAAACTCTCTTTCTCTCTATATATATATGTACATGTATATATGTATGTATATATGCACATGTATTTGGGAGCTAGTGTGACATGTCAGTTAAAATTGTAAGCAGGCATTTAAAAGAAGTTGAAGGGAAGAGAAATAACTGTGGCTGTTTCAAGGAGTATTTGTGAGAAGGATGAAGATTAGCAAGAGAGGGGGAAAGCAAAGGAGAGAGAGAACGGAAGAGTGGAGAGCACTCATAGTCAGAGTTAGAAGGAAAAAGACTCATGCTGAAGAAAGGAGGTGAACCAAGGTAGTAAGGCTATAGAAACAAAGCAAGGCTGTCATAGCTATAGCATATACAGGAAGAAAGGGAAATAAAAATATGAGCCCCCAAAATAGTGTTTAAGAAAACAGAGGTCATATTTTAAGATAGAAACCATGGGCCTGGTGTGATGGTTCTGTGGCTAAATCCTTGCCTTGTGGCCACCAGAATCACATGTGGGTGTTGGTTCATATGCTGGCTGCTCCACTTCCCATCCAGCTGCTTGCATGTGATTTAGAAAGTAGTTGAGGACAGCCCAAAGCCTTAGGATCTTGCACCTACGTGGGAGGCCTGGAAGAAACTCCTGGCTCTTGGCTCCTGGCTTAGAATCAGCTTAGTTGCAGTCATTGTGGCCATGTGGGGAGTGAACCAACAGATGGAAGATCTTTCTCTGTCTCTCATTATCTTTGTAAATCTGCCTTTCAATTAAATAAATAAATAAATAAATACATCTTTAAACAAATATAGAAATCTTTGTAAAAGATGATTATGGTGTGAATAAGACAGGCTTATTGTATTACCCAGTATTTATACCCTACTGTCGAGTAACAAAGCACTTCCCCATATACACTATCACATAATGGTATCTTAAGGGAGGGCAGCCTTGTACGTGGAGAACTGTAGAAAGATGCAGCACAGAGGAATAACTGAAGATGTGAAGAGCAAATGAAGCAATGGATGAAGTTAGTTTCCCAAGGAGGTAGAAGAGTGCAGAATTTAGTGCTGGGAAAGAGTAGAGATTTAAAAGAGAAAAGAAGAAGAGTAATTTATGATGCAGCAGTAAAACTCTGAGGTTAAAAATATTTCCAAAGGATCCATACTAAGGACCTGAAAGTAGTCAAGATAGCCTTGACTAGACAGAAGGTCAAACTTGCAGGAATTGTGTTAAATGTATGAGGAAAATGATGTTGGATAAAACAGCAAAAACTGGTTTTCCAGTTCTCTAACACAATATCATGGCCTGCCACCAATACAACAGTTCATGGTCACTGAACCACTGGAAATGAGAGCAATCAATGCAATGCTGAAACAACTCCAGTGAATACGTTAAAAGTTCACCCATTATACAATTCAATTTAGAAGCCTGCCTCCAGTCCCCGCCCTCCAGCCGACTTTATAGATGAAAAAGCATTTTTCAATTTGTTAGAAAAATTCTTTGCAATAGAAAATGACATCGTTCTATCTCTCAAATAGCAGGCATGATATTCTGTGGACCAGCCTCTAGTCATAATCCTTGGAAATTTCTGCTTCCTCTTAGACAATGCCCAAGCATTTATAACTTTCCTTTTTCAAGTGTGTGTGGTAAGCACATTCAAGTCTGTGGTTTATGAGGTAATGTAATTGGAAAACAACAGTGTGGTGAACTTCCTTGCTGGGCTGAGCGTCTGTGTGACATATGCACTCTGACATTGTCCATTCTGAGATTCTAGTCTATTGACTCTTTGTACCAACTCTTTTTAAATTAATTAAAATAGTAATTTACCTATGATAATTAATAGAAGATAGCAATTATTATTTTTTCCCTGCCCAATATACCTTCCTTTAGGGCAAAAAACTTCCTCTAATGACTAGGATGGTGACTTATCATTAATTGGACCAATTGTGTTGCCACATTTTCCCATGCAAGACATGATGGCAGAGTATGTGTCCTCAATTAATCCAATTCAAGTGATTCTTGGAATTGATTTCAGGCTGTAACAAAAGAGTAAGAAGTTCTATTTTGTTGTAGCAAAAAAAAAAAAAATTTGTAGGATGATGAGTGATAAGGTTGCTACAAGCCAATTTCCCCTTGATCTGGAGACAGTTCATATGAAAGGAAAACTGGACAAATGAGTCAAGCACCACAGAGAGGAAGCCCTAAAACACAGCTACCCCTAGAACAATCTCCCAACAAGCTGTGTTTGATACTTGGTATGGAAAAATGTGGGCTCTGTCATTTGGAAGCCAAATGGCCCAACTTAAACACAAAATGTGTTTGTAAGATCCTTGCAAGCATAAATAGATTATTATATTATGCTTACTCTGCACCTTCATGTTCTACAACTTCATTCTCAATAAAGCTTTGCCATGATGAAAACTGTAATTCATTTGTAAGAATTGGATCTCTTAGACCCCCCAACACCAATTAAGGCATTTATGATATCTGTGTTTCAGTTTCCTGATTAGTAAAATAGGACCAAGAATAGTAGTAGCTACTCACTGAGTATCAACTGTATTGCATGTACTCATCTAACCCTTCACATACTAGTTCTATTATTTTAATTTTCTACATCAACTTTGTGAGATATACATAACAATCCCCTTTTTATGGATGAGAAAACTGAGATGTAAATGAGATTAGGTGATCAAAGTCACCCAGATTGATTAGCAGAATTCAGATTTGGGGTCAAGTTTGTCTCAGCCATGTTTTCCTGTGTTCTGTAATGGCTCATTTTTTTCAAAGGGCTTTTGTGTGTATAATATGATAATGCAGGGAAAATTGCTCTATAAATAGAAAATATTTGAAAGTCATTTTCTAATTGACAGGACAAAATGAGAAAATGGTTCGAATATTAACAGAGAAGATTTAGGTTAAACAGCTCATTCTGATTCTTCCAAAAGTGCCCTTTGAAACTGTAATGGTGAAAAATAGATGCTGGCTTTCATATGAGCAAATTTCATGAAGAGGGAAAATGCAGTCGGTATTCTGTCCTACTTCTGAAGCCTCAAAGCAATTCAGACGAATAAAAGTGAGCTTGTTTACTAAGTTACAGAAAACTAAATCTCATTTTCCTTGTAGCTCCATCAATAGTAAGGACCTGGACTTGTGGTATTCTGTCCAAAATGTGTGTATATATATATATATCCTGTATACATATATATATATCCTGGGTTAGCTGAAAGAAGGCTAAGGTGAAGTCTGTTCTTGATACTGTTTTAGGGCCAGTGTTGTGGTACAGTAGGTTAAACTGCCACTTGCAACACAGGCATCCTCTATCAGCCAAGTGCCAGTTCAAGTCCTGACTGCTCCACCTCCAATACAACTTCCAATACACCTCCAATACAGAAGGCAGTGAAAGATGGTCCAAGTGCTTGAATACCAGATGAAATTTCTGGTTCCTGGCTTCAACCTGGCCCAGACCAGTTGTTAGGGGCCATTTGGGAAGTGAAGTGAAGCAATTTTTTTTTCTCTCTCTCTCTGCCTTTTCAAATAAACAAATAAATCTTTGTAGTACAATCTTTGTATTCTTCAGTTTATAATTACTATTTCAAAGAAACAATCAGCTTATGAACTATGTTCACTTTTCTCATTGGATTGTGTTTAGGATGTAAAACTGTGTCTTACTCATATTTTCATCCTGGGAATCACCATAGACAAAATCTGAGCTATGATCCACAGGTCTACACTATAAATTTTATTCGGTGGATTTTTATTTTCCTTTAAAAATATCAAAAATTATACTTCATGACTATGTTAATATAAAGATGAATATACTAACATGATATAGCAGCCCTACATACTTATGGATTATGTTTCTGCTAATTCAACCAGATTCAAAAAATAGTTCGTAAAAATGGCATCTGGGAGGAAGCATTTGGCTTAGCAGTTATTATGCAGAATTATGATGCCCATATCTTATACCCAAGTGCCATGGTCCACGTACCTTTTCTTCCTCTCTGTCTCAGCTCCTGCTAATGGGGACCCTGGGAGGCAGCAGGTAGTAGAAGAAACAGTAGGATCTCTGTCACCCCTGTGAGATATCTGGGTTCAGATCCCAGCTCCTTCGTTCTGCCTAGCTCAGCCCCAGCCATGGTGGGCATTTGGGGAGTGAGCCAGTGAAAGAGAAATGCCTTGAACGTGCTGGGATCCCATATGGGCACCGTTCTAATCCCAGTGGCCTTGTTTCCCATCCAGCTCCCTGCCTGTGGCCTGGGAAAGCAGTAGAAGACAGCCCAAAGCCCTGGGACCCTGCACCTGTGTGAGACCTGGAAGAAGCTCCTGGCTCCTGGCTCCTGGCTTTGGATTGGCTCAGCACGAGCCGTTGCAGTCACTTGGGGAGTGAATGATCGGACGGAAGATCTTCCTCTCTGTCTCTCCTCTCTGTATATCCGCCTTTCCAATAAAAATAAATAAATATTTTTTAAAAAAAGAAAATTGAAACATACTCACAGGTCTCTAAAAGTATCACGGACCCTGGATATAATGCCTACCTTGCCTATTGTCTTAGTTCATGTTCTGCTGCTATAGCAGGATATCACAGACTTCCATAAAGAATGGAAGTATATTGATGCATGGCTCTGGAGGCTGGGAAGTTGAAGAAAAAAATGGCACAAAAATCTAATGAGTTCCATGCAAATGAGCACAGGTAAGACAGAAGATTTTTTTTTTTTAAGTCAGGAGCTCATTCCTGAATAAATAACCTACTCCCACTGTGACAGTGTCAATCCATTCCTGAGGGCAGAATTCTCATGCCCAAATCACTTCCTGAAGATTCCCCCCCACTAATACTGTCACAGTGGCAATTAAATATCAACAAGAGCTCTAGAGGGGAATCTTTAGATCCATAGCACCAGTGGAGAAATGTGTCCTAATATGCATCCAATACATTTTTGTTAAGTGAATGAAATTAATAAATGATTTGAAGTTAACATTAACTTGGTGGTAGTGATTCTATTTTGGAGTCAGCTTAAGCTTAAAATATTTTGCAAAGCAACTATACAAAAAAACACTGTAAAATTCTAATATTGATTCAATCTGAAGCCAACTACTGAAAAACAGTACTGTAAACAAAATCAAAAGCCAGCAGCAGTGTACAAGGTTGTCAAAATGAGAAATGAATATTTTAAAATAATGTCAGAGATTGCTGTAACACTGAACAAATAGAGCAGACCTCTTAAACAGCAAATTCAAATATTTTCTGTTTTAAATTTTGACATTTGAAGAGAGTCAGTTCATAAAGTAGATACCTAGGAAAATGTGAAGCCATTCGATTATTGACTGTGTTTTAGTTACAAGAGCACTAAGAATGCTAGACCTGCTACCTTTCACAATATATTTTTTTTGGAACTCAACATTTCTCTGCTGTTGTTTCCAGAGACATCTTTTAAATGGAAAATTGATTGATAAAAACTTAGGTAGGAATAAATGTTAATGCATACAATAAATTAAAATGCTGTCATTTTGTGAGAAGGCCAATTTATTGGCCAATTGTGCTCTTTTCCTCTAATAATTCAAAGTTTAGTGTTTAATTTACAGAATGAAATACATGAATCAATTATTTGGTCCATAGTATGGTGAAACTGATTTTCAAAATTATGTCTGGAGAGGCAACCCAACTGACTTTCCACTGATTTATAGTGTAGATGGTCATTTCTGAACAATTTTTTCCCACTTGCAAAGCATCAAAATAGAAGCAAGCATCACTGCATTGTCTGGTTGGGTTGCATCAGATTAACATCTGGATAATAATTCATACTCACCCTTCCAAAAGGAATATTATACATATAAAGTCATACTAGTATTTATGGGATGGGCATTTACCAGAATAGCTCTTAAAGACTACATAATAAAATTGCATTAAAGCTGCCTAAATTAATTAGCCTTAGATACTGAAATGGATTCAGCTAATGGATTCTGCTTCCCCAATGTGCCCTCTCTTAACAATAAAAAAGATAAAATAAAAGAAGTTTTTCCTTCTTTTTTTTTTCAATACTATCTAGCCATCTAGCCACCTGACCAACAGCAAGCATGGGGAACTGTCCACCCTGCCAGGAGGGAGCAAGAGGAAAAATTTATTAAGTGCTCACATATTCAGGCTTCTCGTTTCCAACGGCAACTGGATTGCTTCAGCAGCTGTCATGTCTTGCTACCCTTCAAAGATAGGAAACCAGTGTAGGGTTTCAAACTATCTTCTGCATTTCATTACCGACTTGGCAATGATTCATAAAGGAGTGAGCTAAAAACTCAGGCAAGGGACGGAGTAGTGAATAGTGAATGGGGAAAGCCTCTACAATGGCTCTACTACCTGTCATCCGCTGGATTCTGGAGATGCAAATACAGAGAAGGAAGAGGACATTCAAGTTCATTTGGTCCATCTCACTGAATCAGTGAGAGGTTTTGTGGGGAAGCTGCTAGTAATCAAAGACACACAAGGAGAAACTTCACAGATGGAGGTTGTGGACTCATAGCTCACAGTTACCCACTTGCTTTTCTGTCTGATAAGCTGTTCCCCCACGTTGTGTCCTGCACTAGCCATTTCATTGCTTGTTTGGAGTTCCAGCAGAGGGCAGGCAGGGGAAAGGAGAGGAGCCTTGTATTCCATCTCCAGGATCCAGAACATGTTAGGACAAACTTTTTTTATTACTTAGTGCAAAAAGTAATCCGCCCCACTGCCAGCACCACCCTTTCCCTACACTCTTAACAGCATATCTGTCTGTGCAGTTCTTTCTAGATCTCTCTGCATTTCTTCTCCCAAGGAGTTGACACTCTGGTTAGGGAAGGCAAAGTGAAGACAAGTGAGAGAAAAATGAGAAAGGGAAAGGCATGTTACAAAGCTTTTCCAGTTACCCAAGTAAAGTCAAGAGTTTCAAAAGAGGGAATTTGTGTGCTGAAAATGGTGCAAGTGTTTGCAGTTTGAGAGTTCACAGGATGGAGCATGTGCTGTGGTGGTTTAAGACTCCATCTGGAATGCCTGCCTTCCACATTGCAGTGCCTGGGTTTGGGTCCCAGCTCTACTTACTATTAACATTCCTGTTAATGTTCACTCTGGAAGTAGCATGTGAGGTTCATGTATTTGGATCCTGCCATCCATATGGGAGACCTGAGTTGAATTTTGATCTGGCTTTGGCTTGACCCAGTCCTAGATGTTGCAGGCATTTGGAAAGAGAACCAGTGCATGAAAGATTTCTCTCTCTCTTTCTGTTTCCGTCTCTCTGCCTGTCAAAAAAAATGAAGATAATCAGATAGAAATAAAATAATAAGAAGTTATAAACTAAAATAAAAAAATCCAAGCAACTCTTTGTATTCATGGGTTCTGCATGCTCACATTCAAACAATTGCAGATAGAAAATATTTGGGAGGAAATTGCATTTATACTGAATAAGTGCACTCTTTGTCATTATTCTCTGAACAATACAGTAGAACAACAATTTACAGAGCATTTACATTATACTAGATATTATAAGTAATTTAGAGATAATTTAAATTATACAGGAGATGTACAAAAAGCAGATGCAAATTTGATGTGTTTTATATTAGGGACTTGAGCACCCTTGGTTTTGGAATCCATTGGGTAGGGGAGTGCTGCAATCAATCGCCGAGGATAGGGAGAGATAGCTATGTAAGATGACAGTAATTATTCAGAGAAGCAAGACTCAGTGAGTAGGCAAATGTTCAAGTAATTGTCAAAAATTCTCTGAGCAAGCTTGGGTGACAGGCTCACAGAGATGACTTGCAGCTTCATTGTTAGCATTTGGGTTATGTGGGACAGGTCTCATGGTCAGAACTCAGTTACTGGCCTTGAGATGATGAGACAGGGATGAGGTGCTGGGAAACTCAGGACTGGTGGCATGTCAGGAGGAAAAAATCAGTACCTTTCCGTGTCGTTCATTAAGGTCTGTGTGACAATGTCATGAGCAATACACTACCGGGAGGTCTTCATCAGATAAACAGGGTTGCTAAATTCATGGCCAAGGAATGCGGGTTAGAGAGACACTCCCAACCCCAGCTGCTACCTGCACACCCTGGACTGGCTGGCAACCAAGGCAACATGCTGAAACCAGGATCCTCCACGACGAATGGTAACATTGCAGCCCTTAATCCTGAAATGAAAAGTAATTGCTTCTGGCTTAGAGTATAAAGGAAAAACAAGATCACCTTTGGTTGAATTACTTTTTTTTTTTTTTTCGTTTTTCCAAAAAAAGCAACCATGCAGAAGATAAGTTCTGAAACCTTCTGGGAATTTGAAAATGTGAAGAAGTGGATGTTTTCTGTCAATATAATTTAACTCCATCTAGAAGCACTAATTTATAAGGACACTTGAATGCAAGTGCATTTTAATAAGCATGAGTCAATTACACGTGTTTACCTTTACCTATAAGCAGCGACCAAAAATTCAATTTGCTTGAATGCAGTTTTAAGCTTGTGTTGAAAGCAGTTCTTGCTTTTTATTTGAAACAATTCCTACTAGGACATATCAGCCAAAGATTCCAGAGCTCCCTTTTTGTAAAAATGAAACTGCACATGAAGAGATGTGGAGGAAGAGAGAGGGAAAGATATTTCAATACCTCTAATAGATTCCTGGAATGGAATTATCTTTCCTGCAGAACAGAAAGCAATCCACAAAGGGTCAGCTACAAAGGTAAATTATCATTAGAAGGATCTAAAAATGTCCTCAGCAAAACTAAATAAGCAGACTGAGTGTTTTTGCTTGTTTCATTCTCAAGGGGCTGGATGAATACAACTGTCAAATATTCTGGGTTTAGAATATATATTCTCTTTGTGAACAGGAGAGTAATGACACTGAACAAACAGCAAGGAGAATAGGACAAATCATGCATTTTGCACTTCAATTTTTAGATTATATGTGTATTAACTTCAAATATTTGTAGCAGACTCACAATGGTATAGTGAGAATTGATTAACATACACCTGTCTCTTGGTCTGATTGCTTGTAAACACCTGAGATTGCAAATGTCCCTTTCAACACTGTTTTGCTACATCTCATAGGTAATGATGTTCTAATTTTAATTGTAATTTCTTCAGAGCTACATGGGTCATGTAGCATCAATTTCTACAAGAAGGTTTTTAATTTTATTTTTAATCATTCCAGCTACACTTGGGTATTTTTGTAGCATGTTCGTTAACTTCATGTTGATGAATTTGCTCTTTTTCTCCCTGTTGTGGACTGTGTTCACTGGCTTTGTATTTAAGGGATGTACAATGGAAGTGTACTGAGGACTGATATGTTCAGATGTGGAGACAAAGTGCAGTAGTTCTCTATTCATCCAGACCAAAGATGGAGTCCCTGTAAAACAGCTGAAATTATCGTAAGAGCAGGTTGCTGGACTCTAGAGCATTGTCCATGCCCAGAAGGCCTTAATAACAGCAAGATGGACTCATGAGTGATTATGAAGGACCACCCATTGTAGTACTAGAGGGGAAATTAATTGTGGGGGAGGGAAATTCGGTAATTCCAGAGCCTATAGATTGTGTCATAAAATGACAACAACAATAATAACCTGTCTCTTAGAACAGAAGTTGTCCAGTCTCTATTAGATTGAGCCACAAAAATATTGTCTACAAAAACAGGAATTAAATGTGGTATCTTAATGCCAAAAACCCTCACAGGAATGTCATCAACCAATAATAATCAGGGAGAGATAAAACTGTTTTGTTTTCCTGCCACCACTTTGCATAAACACTTCTATTATGAAACTGTTAGAATGTGCCTGTCTTTTTGCAGGTGCTATCATTGAGGACATTCTGCATAAAAGAACAAAAGCTATTCACAGACCCGTCTCACAGCTTGGGTTTCTGCTTTTTCTGCATTTTAATTCAAGCAAAAAAAAATGTTTTTAAACATTTATTTTATTTACTTGAAAGGCAGAGTTACAGAGAGGGAAAGGCACAAGGCAAAAGTAGAAAGAAATTTTTTGTCTGCTGATCCCCTCCCTAAGCGGTTGCAACAGCCAAAGCTGGGCCAGGTGGAAACCAGGGCTTCTACTGGGTCTTCCAAGTAGGTTGAGGGGTGTAAGCATCTAGGGCATCTTCCACTGCTTCTCTAGGTGTAAGTAGCAGGGAGTGGGATTGGAAGCAGAACAGGCAGGACATGAATCAGTGCCCATGTGGGATGCCAAACTTCCAAGTTGAGGCCTACTTTGTCATTCAACCATGATGGCCCTGAAAAATATTTCCATATACCAGAAGTCCTTTGGATACCACCAGATTAGTTAGCCTAACTACACCACAGCTTCAACAATCAACTGTGTCTGCTGCTTGGGAGCTCAGGCTAATGAACAGCTAGAAGGCCAGCTGCAGAATCAACCTGACACACAGTAATCACAGGGATAAGGACCTGTCTAAATGAAAGGTGTCATAAAGCTCATGAAGTAAAGAAACAGTCATGAATAGCACCCAGCCATAAAAAAATGGTCATGAGTTGTGCACTCTACTGGGATATACCACACAGGCAGCACCTCCAAAGTCACAGAGAGAGAGAGAGAGGGGGGTGTGTTCATGATTCTAGTCATTGGTTCCTCTTCAAAGGCTCACAGCAGCCACACTGAGGCAAAGTTGAACCTGAGCCAGGAAACCAGTCCATGTCTCCCACATCAGCAACAGGAGCCCAGTCATTTGAGCCGTCCTTGCTGGCTCCCGAAACCTGTGTTATCAGGAAGTCGGAGTCAGGAGGCACAGCTGAGCATTAAACTCCAATACTCTGATGTGAGATGTGAGCATCTTAACACCTGGCCATATGCCTGCCCTTGAATACAACTCTTGGAGATTTAAAACCATCTCACTTTTCTACATAAAAAAGTAACAATCCAAAATGTAATGTGATTACAAAAGAGTAATCTCTCATGTCATATATTATTAAGTCAATGGCCAGATGACCTTGAGAAGTAGCAAAATTCTTTCTTCAAGTAAAGACTCATTGCATAATCTTAAATTTTGCTTTCTGGAGATGAAATTAGAATTACGGACAATTCAAACTTAATTATCAGCATTCCCCTTGGTGAGCTAGCCTCCAAATGTCTTATATATTACTTTCTAAAAGGAAATACACCTCTTCAAATTATACTTTATTAAAAAAAAAAAGATGCTTATGGCAAAGTGCCATGGCTCAGTAGGTTAAGCTGCTGCTTCAGACTCCCAAATCCCTTATAGGAATTTCTGTCGGAGTTCCTGATGCTTTACTTCTTTTTTTTTCCCCCACATTTTATTATTATTGCTATCATTTTACGATACAGTTCCATATTCCCCTATCCCCTCCCCAATTCCCTCCCCCCCAGTTCCTTTATATCATTATTAATATATAGTTCTTCATACACAGTCATATGTTCATCATTGCAGGCATGGACAATGGCAGAGAGTCCAGAATCCTATTGTCAAAATATAATATAAACAGTTTCACTGTAAGTCCATCTTTGTCTGGAAACAGAGATGCATACCACACTGCATCCTCACATCTGGTTGTTAGTCTCCATTACATAACTACTGTACATTCCCTTAAATGAAAAGTCATGATACAGAATCAACAATAGAAAGAAAAATAGAAATTTACAATGCCATGAAGTTAAATGACATGTTACTAGATATGACAGTCTCCATTACACAACTACTTTACCTTCCCTTAAATGAAGAGCCACAAAACAAAATCAACTTCCGGAAGAAAAAAGAAATTAACAACACCAAGAAGTTAAACAACATGCTATTAAATGTCCAACATGTAGCTGAAGAAGTGAAAATCAAGAACCTTCTTGAAGAAAATGATGCCACTGCATGATCTACGAGTCATTAAATGATTTAATCAGAAGAAAGTGTTTTGAAGAGAAGAAACCAACAGAAAACAACATAACCCATGTGATATAATTTCCGCTGATCTTTGTTGGAGTGTGTCTCCTCCCGACGATAAACAGATGGGTTTTGTTTTTTAATCCAGTCTACTAATCTATGATGTTTGATTGAGCTTAAGCAATTTACATTTAGAGTTAAATATACATGGGTGGTACTTTGGTCCTGTCATTTTAGGAATGGGTTGTTCATTGTTTTAGTCTTCTCTTGTCATTTTACTGGGATGTTCTTCCCGTTTGCCTTTGGTTTTGGTAGGTGC